TCTCTCTCTCTCTCTCTCTCTCTCTCTCTCTCTCTCTCTCTCTCTCTCTCTCTCTCTCTCTGCACTTTCCGCGTGCACGTTGGACGCGTCACTTCTCGGCTGAGTTCTTCACGTTGAAGCCTATAGGCTCGTGCGGCAAATGAAAGTGCGACCGAGTGAAACGACCGTTCTTGTAGCCGTCACCCCAGCCGCCCTCCGAACCCCAGCACCCCGAAAACACAGCGGCCTCGTTTTTTTTTTCTATTAAAAAAAGATTAAAAAATTATGATCGCCTGAGGTGGTACCGAACAGGCCACTACACCACCCCAGGCCCTCAGAATCTGCGCACACCCGCACAAAACGAGCGAAATCAGCTTTTGCGGACCCCGTTGATTCGCGTCCAACGCGTGTTCAAATGGGGATTCAACGCGAATCGAATGCGCGCTGATTTTTTTAACGTGAAACGCGCATTGAATCCGATTTCGGACACAAAGTCTGTCTCAGAGTCTGACTTTTGATTTTCAACTGTCTATTGACTGACATGCCATTGTTCACTAATCTAAAAATAGCTCCAGAATCGCCACACAGAGGAGAATAAGGAACACACTTACTTCAAGGATATCTCTGAAGGGGATGAGTGAAACTCTGGTTATGGTTGTCTCCTTAGACTCATCTCGCCAATTTCTTCTCCTTACAGTTCTCAGTGTTCCCACGTATGAAATCCTCTTAAACTTGGTGATCCTGTAGATCCCCTTATGACGCTTGAACCGCAACTGATAGATTCTATGAATTTGAACTCCGAGATGCCAATAACTGAGAAACTAAGTGCAACGCTACTCCAACCTGCACTGCGTTGCTTGGGAATTAGGGATCCTTCCCAACCCCAAAATCGCAACACTGTGGGATTTACTTCCTTCCAAATTGCCAGTTCCAGATGAATCACCAAGCTAAGAACAGCCTCCTCAGAGCCTCCTAGGCCTCTCAGTATCACTTGCCACTCACTCCTATACAACCCTAAGCAGGAGTGCATCACCCTCTATCCAATAGCTCTTGCCACACACTTACCACCACCACCCTCACTGTTGCCAGCACAGAAGATCATAAAATGCCATGAAGTTCAACTTCAGTATAGTTGAGTATCTCGCCAAATGGTGGTAGTTGCTCCAACTGATAAGTCACTTCATTGTCTGGATCCAATCGATCCGATACCAACTGTTATGAACCTGGTTGTTTGTTGTCAGAAGACCAACTTGAACACTCACTCACATAGACTTCCAGGTATGCCCATACATACACAAAAGGAAGGGGAGAGGATGGGAGTATCACACCGCATAAGGGGAGATAAACACAGCGGAAGACTTGCCCATGCGATATGACAGAAAACACTGAAAGTGCAATTCGCTCCAAAGGAAAGTCGAGTAGATCACATCCAGGAAACAATGAAGCAAAGATAGTCCAGACACAGTATCCACACTGTTTATTAAACTCGGAGTCTCGATTTGTCGGAATAACCTTAGAACTGTGATGGGCTGCTCATTTTTTAGCAGTGCTCCTTCCCCCAACCCTAAGTAACCGCTATCACTACCCCTGAGCCTCTGAAAGATCCAGTGCCAACCAGATACTGCCTCCAGAGGGAAGTGCCACCCTGAAACCGGCCTCTGAGGCCAAGCGCCTCTCAGAGGATGAAGAAGAAGAACTGCGCCACAGTCACTGATGATAATAAAGTATCAGAGGACTTCCCGGGCGAATGTCTGTAGCGGCGCCACCTCTCCTTACAAAGATGATCTCTGCGGAAGAAAGCTATGGCTGCAGCGCCATACACCCTGACACCCCACTCATGAAGAGGGTTCAGCAGGGCACCAACTTCTCTTGCCTCCAGCAGACTTCAAATAGCCCGGACCTTTGAACAGCCCCGTGTGTTGTCGAGGAACAGCGCAGGTCCAAGATATGGCCGATGCTTTGCAGGTCCGGCTATGTCTGTCTTCTCCAACGCTGAAGTTGACCCACCTCCAGTTCATGCGTTGTGCAGCTGTGCTATACCCGGTACCAACTGCCAAAAGCCCCGAACAGTTTTCCCTAGACCTATGCATAGTCTACCCTAGCCTAGACCCGTCTTAGACTAGACTCACTGGACTGACTGGTACCATTTCACTTCGGCCTTTAGGGCCTCTCCCTACCCGACAATAGGCTATAAAACCGTCTAGCATTAGAGGCTCAAAGGACCTTCTGTCTTCGTGGTGGCCCGGGTCTGCTCTTCATAGTTAGGGTAGCGGTAGGAAAATTCAGGTTAGTCTGGGCCTGTAATTTTCCCAAATTTTCAGATATGTCTCTCTTGAATTTTCCCACACGCAGCTCTCTCGGTTAGCCCTCAACCAAACAAAATTACGAATCTGTTCTACCTATGTTACAGCCTCAGGTCGACGGGACGCAGGCTGCAGAACCAACAAGTCATTGCACACACACACACACACACACACACACACACACACACACACACACACACACACACACACACACA